TTCTATGTTTTTTTTTTGATTCTAATTAGTTTAATTTGATTTAATTTTAATTATTTCTTCTTGTCTACTGGATTGGCGTTTATCTTGCTGCTTTTTCAAGGAAGTTCAGATGTCTCATTAAATTGTTGGTTTCAGATGTCTCCAATTTGTTGATGTAGGAAATCAGAGCTATAAACTTGCCTATGAGTACTGCTTTTGCTGTGTCCCAGAGGAGCTGTTAATTTGTGTGTTCATTTTTGTTGAATATCATGAACATTTGAATTTCCTTTCTCATCTCTTCCACAATCCACTGGTGATTCAACAGTGTGTTGTTCAGCCTCCATGTGTTACAGGACCTTCTTTGGTGGCTTTTGGTTTGTGACCTAAAATGTGGTGTATTTTGGAAAATGTTCTGTGTGCTGCTGAGAAGAACGTATAATCTGATGCTGCAGGATGAAATATTCGGTAGATATCTGTTAAATCTAGTTGATCTATGCAGCTGTTTAGATTTGCGATTACACTTTTGAGTTTTTGCTGAGTTGATCTAACTAGTGAAGATGGTGGTGTGTTAAAGAACTCAACCCTTAATGCCTTTGGATCTATGTGAGATTTGAGGGAAAGTAGTGTTTCTTGGATAAATTAGGGTGCTCTGTTGTTTGGTGAATAGATATTTAGAATTGTGATATCCTCCTGAATGAGAGATCCCTAATTAGTATGTAGTGATCTACTTTTTCTCTCCTCAGTAATTTTAATTTGAAGTCTATTTTATGTGATATTAGGATTGCAACTCCCACATGTTTATGGGGGCCTTTGCTTGGTAGATTTTATTCCAGCCTTTCACTTTCATAATATGTTTGTTTTAATCGGGAAGGTGTGACACCTGAAAGCAGTATAGAGAAGGATCTTGCATTTTTAATCCAAGTAGCCAGTCTATGTTGCTTAATTGTAGAGTTAAGTCTATTAATGTAGAGAGTTAGGACTGAGTGGTGTTTTGTAGTTCTGCCATGTTATCCACCTTCTTAGGTGCTGTAACAACTTGGTTCTTCACATGGTACTTGGATTCTCAGTTTGGGTGCAGTCTCCTGGCCTTTATTGTGGTCTGGTTGGTTTTCTATGTGTAGGACATCTTTAAGTATCTTTTGTAGGGCTGGTTTGGTGGGGATCTATTGTTTGAGTTTTTCTTTGCTATAGAAGGTTTTCATTTGACCTTCATTATGAAGGAGAGTTTAGCTGGGTACAGTATTCTTGGTTGATAGCTGTTTGTCTCTAGGGTGTGGTATACATCATTCTAGCCTCTTCTTGCTTTAATTGTCTCTGCTGAAAAATCTGAGGTGATTCTAATTGCTTTCCCTTTATATGTGATTGATCTTTTCACCTTGACAGCTTTAAGAATCGTTTCCTTTAGCTGAATTGATCAATTCAGGTCTGGTGTATTTGGGGTTCTAAAAGCTTCTTGTATGTGAACAGGCCTATCTTTTTGCAAGTTTGGGAAGTTCCCTGATGGGATCCTGTTAAATAAATTTCTAGACCATTAACTTCTGTCTCTAGTTGCTCCTGTACATCTATTATTTTCAGACTTCTGATGGTGTCTACCAAATATTGAATCGATCTATCACATTTCTTGGATTTGTCTTGGATAATTGTATGCTCTCTCTCTATAATATCTTGGCTGTCTCCAATCTCTGAGATTCCATCTTCTGCATGGTCTAACCTACTGTCAAGACTTTCTACTTTGTTTTTTATTTCCTTTCCTTCTAATTGTTTGGCTTTGATGGCTTCAAATTCCTTGTTGGGGCTTTGTTTTAGATATTGTATGAACTTCTTTACTTCCTTAATTTGGTGTTCAGTGTTTATTCTCAAAACACTTAGTTGATTGGTTATGGTTTCCTTGGACTTCTGTTGGGTTCCATTTAGCATTCCCTTTGTGGTCTGTCTGGATTTCTTCAGCTGTCTGTTTATGGATTCCATGTATACCTCTACTGATCTTTGTTTATTCTCATCCTGCTCACACAATTCCTGTCTTACTCTTTGATTAGCTTCTTCATGCTCATACAATTCGTGCATTTTTCTTTGACTGTTCTCAGCCTGCTCATGCAATTCCTGTCTTTCTCTTTGGTTGTTCTCAGCCTGCCATGCAATTCCTTTATTAATCTTTGATTAGCTTCCTCATGCTCATGAGATTCCTGTATTAATGTTTGGTTAACCTGATCATGCTCGTGAAGTTCCCATATTAATCTTTGGTTGCCCTCATCTTGCTTCCTATCATTGTCACACTGAATCCTCTACACATTTTCATACCTTTCATTCACCATGTTTACCAGTAGTGTTTGTAGAGCTTTTTGGGAATTCTCTTCTGGATTTTTCATTAAATGTTCTGTCACCTCATTATCATGAGTGGGAGTTGAGATACCCTGACTAGCCATTTTTCTTGTCTTTCTCCGGCTTGTTCTGTCCATTTGGTAAGAAATTAACACCAATTTTGTGCTAGAACACTATTTTAAGGCAAGCATCAACCAGAGTCCTGTAGTTACACATTAAAATGGCTTCAGATACAATCTAGTTCAACAGATACAATCTATTCATCATCAAACAACAATGGATTAATGGGCTAAGGACATCAAAGAAGGATTCAGATGACCAGACCTTAATAGGTTTAGGGAGAATTGTAAGGAAAAATAGGATTAGAGGAATGTGGTGAGGTAAAAGGAAAGAGTGAATTTAACCAAACCTAATCTCAGAGAGGGAATGGATAGGACTTAATGAATGGAGAGAGATAAAAAAACAAGAAATAAGAAAAACAAAAATTTAAATTTAAAAACTGACTTACTTAAAATTATGGAAGAATGAAGAAATGATATTGGTGAAGAAAGGGATAGGATGAGAAGAGGAGAGAGGTAAGAAAATATGAAAAAATAAAAAATTTTAAAAATGGAAATCTTAAAAATAATATAATTATAAAGAAATAATACAAGTATTAAAGAAGTTAAGCCTAAGAGGTTGTGAATTAAGTAATAAATTCCTGGATTAAATAAGTACACAATGAGGGATGAGGTGTAAGAATCAATGACAGGTATATATTTGGGGATGAGCAGAAGAGCAATTAATCACTCAATAAAAGAAAGAATAAAGGACTCAATGGTTACAAGAGATTTCACACACACACACACCTGAAATAAAAATTATGAAAGAAAAAAATAATAAAAAACAAACTTTTTCAAAAATTAAAAAATTAAGTAGAAAAAAGAATTCTTTGATTTTGTTTGTGGATTGGGAGATCTTTTATTTCCTCTCTGTCTGGAAGTAGTCTCTTGGTGGAGTCTCTGGTCTGCTTGTGGTGTTTGGTTTTCCTGTGGCTTGATTGGTTTCTTAAGTTTGTTAGAGCAAGCAGAAAGAAGGTATGCCTCCCCCAGGCCTTTGTGGTCCTCCTCTCAGTCTAGTTGAGTGGGAGGGAGTTCTGCTTGGAATATCACAAAAGCTGGAGATGTCTGTTTCCTCTAACTTGGAGTTGCTGTGCTGAGGCTAGGTTCTGGGTAGGATTGAGGCCTATCAGCAATCAGTAGCTTTTCCCTGAGGGGCTAACTCCTAAGACACACATAGAGCCCAGCCTTGAGCCATTCTCAAGGTTTATGAGTACTGAGTTTCAACTCTTTGTGTTTTACCCCTTCTGCTGTCTAGGCTGCAATAGAGAGGGGCAGTCTCTGCCTCTGTTTACCCAGTGAAGAATGTCACTCCTCCCGAAGTAGAGCTTCCTCTCTCTGAATGGAGCTGAACCTGGCAAATCAGGTCAGATTCCTGTGACCTGTTGAATGGCTCCTATGGTTTTCTTTCAAGGCCTGAGCTGGAGTTAGCTACTGTGGCAGGGCATTTGTCAGTAACAAAGATGGACATATTCTCCGGTGGTTGGGGAGGACTTAACTTCCCACTGCAGCTCTATGAGAAGGATTGAGGTTATCTTGTTTCTACTCATGCCAGATTCTGTTCCTGGGCTGTCCCTGCACTGCGAAAAACAGGATGAACATTTCTGCTCCTTGTCAGTTCTTGCTGCTGGTGAATAGAATCTGCTCACACACCGTGTCTGGCGCCTTTGTCCTGGATCGTCTCTGTTGATATGGTGGCAGTAACTGTCACCACCATCACCACCAGTAGCCCCAATGTGGCTACTGGAAAGTGCTCAGATCTGTCTTCTTGACCAAGCTGAATTTTTCCTCTCTGACCAAGCTCTGTAGTCTGATGGCACACTTGGTATGATTCTCTAGCCTAAGACTTCACTGGAACACTAAAACTGCTTTCTATGAAAGACCTTATTTAGCCTCCAGCTTCTCCTCAGCCATCTTACTCCAGAGTGATATTTTGGATTTGTACTATTGAAAAGTTGAGAGCTCATATCACACAAAGTGAGGATGAGGACAGGAGACATAGCACTTCCTTATCACAGATGCTGTGTTCTTGAAGTCACGTCATGGAGAGCACGACAGGGCAAGTGTATCTTGTATTTTCCCTAAAGGAGGCAGACTACCTAATTCCATTTGCTATGAAAGATTCTAGAAAGTCACTATGCCTGGAACATATCACCTAACATAAAAGTCATTACTTGTGAGGACAGAAATGCCCTTGGTGGCTCATGGTGTGCTGGTGGCTCTTCCATGTAATGAAGAAGCACCTCGTGGAGGGCGTGGGCCACGGCATACATGGTGGTGTAAATATTGTAACTTTCTTGTGGCACTGCCCTATCAAAAGTGTGTCCCTGCAACCAAGCCACAGTGGCATTGGATGAAGACTGCCCCAATTTTCTATAATCAGACTTAATCAGTATGCAGCGAACAACCCAAATCCATAACCTAGGAAGAGAAATATCTCTTGAGTCCTTGGAATAGTTATCTCTTGGGACAAAATTGGTGAACACAGAAATGTATGGTGGTGAGAGAGGATGAGAGGTGCGTGGAAGGATTGTAACAGGAAGTATCTTTTGCTAAGGGTATTGTTATCATAGGGTGAGTTCATGACCCAGACTTTCTCTGTAATTAAAAAATCCCCAATTTAAGAATAAAGTTTAATAGCAATTCAATTTCTCCGTAAATGATTGTTACATTGGTTGAGGATTCCATGATCTGGTGATATCTTGGTTGATCAGTTGATAAATCTGATGGGCTGTTTGCCAGGATCATATTCTCAAAGGCTAGACAGACTCCATGCTTGTCCATCGCCTCTCTCAATTCTGAGAGGAACCACACACCATAGTTGTCTTTGGTTATGAGCAGTCCCACCAAATTGAAGCCAAATTGAAGCATCAAGGAGACCATGGCCAGGGCTAGAGCTGAGTCCTTGGCAGCTATCTGATTGACAGCACCAAACTGTCCATGGTCACTCAGGAGAGGATCAAAAGACCCATAAGTTAACTAAAGGGGGAAAAATAATCACAAAAGCAGGAAGAGGATGGTCATTGTCAGGGTCACAGTCCTGATGAGTAGCCAACAACCGCTTGCAGTGTTGGGAGTGAAGGTTTGCTTATCCCACTTGTTTTTGGTCAGTTGTGGGGCTTGACTCTGGGCCTGGGCACTGTCCCTCAGCTCTAAAGCTCCAGGCAAGCACTCTACCACTTGAGCTACCACACCATGTCCAGTTTTCTAGTGGTTTCTTGGAGATAGGAATCTCATGGTCTTTCTTGCCCTGGCTGGCTTTGAGCCACAATCCTCAGATCTCAGCCTCCTGAGTAGCTAGGATTACAGGTGTGAGCCACCAGTGCCTGGCTTGCTTATACCACTTGTAATATCATCTCTCATGCTCCAAGATTTTTGTAGAATTGTATGGATCAGAATCAGAGCCTGGGCTCATTCTTTGCTCTCTTATAAGCTCTCCTTTGATCTCTTCCAACAAAGATAATGTAGATGCCCCACACAATGTGGGGATTTTTTTTCCTTTGAGGCCTTTCAGTATGTGAGGCTCATAATACCACCTCTTTTCTGAACTTCTTCAACCTATTGAGGACAGGTTCAAGGTGGACTTAGCTTCACATCTGCCCTCCCCTTCCATACTCACCTGTGGAAGCTTGTAGAGGTCCAGTAGTGTCAAGATTGGGACAGATGTGCTTGAAGTTCCTGTGAGTACTGCTAAAACTGCTGAATCTCCTTCAGGTGTAATTAGGGCTGTTTTAGTTTTTCCCAGACAGCAAGGTCAATGGATTCTCTAACACATCAGTTTCTACATAATGTGAAATATAGATCTCAAACCCTAGGGTCCTGTTGGGTAACAGATGGGGATTGTGTTGATTTCCTCAACTGGGAGGGTCAGGGACAGAACTAATTGGTATTTCCTTAGTTGAACTTGCACAGAGGACACAGAGATTCAGGTATGTAAACATGTATTACAAAGGATTAAGTTGAAATCTCAATACTTTGTTGAATTGAATGGTTTTCTGTACACACAGTAATATGTTTGGATCCTGTCTTCAAAGAGGATGAAATTAGAATTTGGATCGTTAGGAAGATAATGAGAATTGGGAGAGTTCCTGAACCAGGAGTTGATCAATGAACACTAGATTGCTGTTCTGAGATAGAGAAGGAGTGCGCTGGCTTTTCCTGTCTGTCATTTGTAGATACATGAAAAGCACTAATATCTGGGCCATAGCGCGTGTCTAGTTTCCACACCAAGTCATTGAGTACCTTGAAGTAGGTCTGTGTATGAAATATATGAAGATTAGGTCTGTATCTGAAGTAAATGAAGGAATGTTTGAGATACTATTCGGCAAAAACAGCAGTTAGAGCCGTGTGCCAGTGGCTCACGCCTATAATTCTAGGTACTCACGCAGCTGGGATCTAAGTATCACGGTTCAAAGTCAGCTGGAGCAGAAAAGCCCATGAGAGTCTAATCTCCAATAAACCACTAGAGAACCGGAAGTGGTGCTGTGGGACAAGTGGTAAAATACTTGCCTTGTGCTGAAGAGCACAGGGACAGTGCCCAGGACCAGAGTTTAAGCCCCACTACCGACAATAATAATAATAATAATAATATCATCATCATCATCATCATCATCATCACCATCATCATTATCATCATCATCATCATCACCCATAACGACATTATCTGAGGAAAAAGACAGTCTCCTGGAACAAAAAGTCTGTCCTAGTGGGGAGGGATCCTGGGGATGAGTGATCATCCCGATACCAGTGGAAAACTGCATCCATAAGAGGGATGGTGTCAGATCCTAAAGGGAGTCACTTTGTGCTTGTCCTTGCATAACTGAGCACAGCTGGGAGGTTAAAAGGAAGTAGTTGAAAAGTATGTCTATTTGATGCCCATATCTGCTTTCCTTCTAACTGGGCAGGAATTTATATGCATTACCTATTATTTTTATGTAAGGTAAAATTTTGTTTTTAAGGCTATGGTTGTGAAATTGGGGATAGCTTAAATTTATCCAAAAGGGCAGACTCTACTCTTTGCTTAAGGCTATGTTTGGAGTAAATTTCTGATATGGAAGCAGATACATATACTCAGCCAGTCTGAAAAAGAGGGTAAGGCTGGAGTGTTGGTAAATCAAAAGCCTCTTCTCACAAGCCCAAAATAGGACATCTGGCCATTTGGCTCTAATAGAGCACAACACAGATGTAAAGCAGTATTCATATACATTCTAAATATTCTTTCTTGGTATTGTAAAACCCCAATTAATCATGGATCTAAGATCTTGTCCCCATTGAACGATATCTGGGAAGCTTCACAGAAAGCTGATATGCAGTGTAATGGTCACCACACTTCAGGATCTCCAGTCAACCAGGGAAATGCTTTTGCACACCAGAGTGCTAAGCAGGCTGTAATGCTCTGCTGTAGGAAAATGGCTTGACTACCAGCACAACTATGGTTATAGAAGCATTATTCACCACAGCTAAGATATGAAACCTATCCAGATGCCCCTCAGTAGATTAATGGATCAAGAAAATGTGACACACACACACACACACACAACACACACACACACACACACACTGGAATTTTATGCCTCCATCAGGAAGAATGACACTGCCCAATTTTCTAAAAAATGGAAAGACTTGGAAAAAATCATATTAAGTAAAGTATGCCAGACCCAAAGAAATATAGGGCCCATTGTTTCCCTTAATTGTAATTTTGGTATATGTCTAGGCTAATCTTATCAGATGACCTGAAAAGCTCAAAATTATGTACATATGACCATATAAAATGATGCTCAGCAAAATGAACCCCAAGGTACAGACACATGAGGATTTTCTTTGTTGTTGTTTTTAATGTACTATGTGATTTTTTGTTTCTTTTGTATGTTCTTTCTCCTATGGCATATCCCTGTTGTCACTGTATTTAAGTACCTTGAATCTTGTATATACATTTATCTAATTTGGGGAGAGGAAGTGGGAATAAGAAAATTCTGAAAGAAGGACACAGGATGACCCATTGCAACAATGATATTCACAAGACACTATGTTGGAAATGCACTTTACGTATTTGGGGGAGAGAGGAGTGAGGGAGGTGGGAGAGGGAAGGGATGGTAGGAGAAAAACAAAGGAGGTGTAATAATGTTGGACTAGAAATGTATTCATTACCTTACTGATGTCACTGTAACCCCTCTGTACAGCATCTTTACAATAAAATAAAAAGTTTTAAGAAGAACCCCCACCCAAGAATGGCTTGGATACCTTCTATGCTCAAATTTCTTCCGATCAACTTTTACCTAAATCGGAATGTCCCTGTTCAGTTCTTCTCAGTACTCCCACAGCTGTGAAATTGTCTGTTTTTAACTCTTGGATACACATTTATAGCATAAAAACTTTATATCTTTATCCCCAATCTCAGGTTTCAGATTCAGGTAGACACGAAGTCTCACAGGACTTCTCTACCTGTAAATCTCTAAAAAGACTTGAGATTCCTCTTCAAGATTAATAAAAGGAGAGTTAACCACATTGCCTGAATGTTGTGATCAAGTTTCCAATTTTAAATTTCTGTAAACTCAATTATAAATAGCATTCTTTAGTCTCAGAACAATTGTTAAAGCTCCTTCATTAAGCTTAGGATGTATAAGAAATCACCTTTTCTAATTACTATTTCCTGGGCTGATTTGGAAAGTAACCCATTTTGACAGTGGGCCCAATTTTCTACAAGGGAGGTTATTTCTGGCTAACTTCCACTCTTGGGCAATTCAGCTCAAAGACTTCTCTCTTCTGGAAATAGCACTCTCATACTTATTGTAAATGGGATGGGAAAAACTCTCCTGCAGAACAGGAAGACTTTAGCTTTCATTCCTGCAGCCCAAGGAGGAACCTGCAGAACTGTAAAGGTTAAATGCTGTGTGTATATTCCAGACAACTCAAATATCTCCCCAGCCCCTCTGGTTCTACACACTCAAATTGATACTAAGTCTGACTCTGCTCTTAGTTTTAACCAATGCCTTGCTTAATGGTTCTCTGGAACGACTTGTGGGGAAATTTGTTATTTATCTTTATGACATTAATAGGTGGGGGTGTATTGATCTATTGCACCTTATATAGCTTCTGAGGATTATTATGCTTCAGAATTTCTTGTTTGGCTTCCTTTCCAGTCTTTGGTTAAAGAATGCTCCTAATGTTGTCCCAAACTGACAATTCAACAACAGAACTTCCCATGTCACCCATTGATAAGATAGGACAAGACTTGACTGTTAATGTCCCTGCTCAGGGTAATGCAGTGACAGAAACAGATCTTCACCAATCAATTTCCTTTGAGATTAAGGGACCAAAGTCATTTGAGGGGAGTGAGGCAGGATAACCTTGGAAAACTGTGGCAGGGTAAATGATTGACAGTAATCAAGAAAGCTAGTAGCTAATAAAGAAGAGTTTTACCCATCTACATCTTTTATGATTAAGGGAACAAAGTCATTTCAGGGGAAAATGAAAGATAATCCAGGGAAAATGAGGCATGGGAAATGGTTACCAGACATGACCAGAAAACCCTCAAGCTTAAAGGTAATCCATCCACTTCCCTTAATATTAAGGTAAGAAAGTCATTTTAGGGAAAAATGAGGCAGGAGAAATTGAGGAAACATGGTACATAGAAATATAGAAGCACTATCTTTGCTTCAAAGAGAGACAACAGGGTGCATTCCTTCCTGTGAGGTACATATCTCACCCTAAGAATTAATATTTGTCTGGCAGGAAATAAATCTTCCTGAGAAAATGCTCCCCAAAACTTAAGCAATATGACTCCTTTCTTTCTTTTTTTTCATTTTAATGGCTTCCTTTCTTTTTCTTTTCTTTCTTTTTGGTGAAAATATCATACAGAGGGGTTACAATTACATAGGTAAGATAATGAGTCCATTTCGTATCAAGAGTTGTAGCCTCCTCCTTTGCTTCCACTACCCATCCCTTCCCATGTCCCACCTCCCCCCGTCTACACCCCTCTCCTGGCAAAGTTGTAAAGTTCGTTTTTCTTTTTCTTTTTTATATTGTGAAAATAATATCCAGAGGGTTTACAATTACCTGGGCAAGATAATGAGTACATTTCTTTCCAAGCATTGTAGCCTCCTCCTTTGTTACCCCTCAGCATCCCTTGCCATCCTCCCCCCATCCCCCACCCGACCCTCCTCCCTCCCATTAAAGTTGTGAAGTTCATTTTTGACATAGCGACATGTACATCTCATTGTTGCAATGGGTCCACTTGTATCCCTATTTAAACGATTTGTTTTTTACCTTCCCCTCCACAAATTATACCAACATCAAATACAGTGAAAGCCGGGGTTATACCATGGGGGCGGGACATACAAAGCAACAAAGTAATAATTTTATAAATATCTAAGAAACAATTGCATGACAGCAAAAATATTTGAATACTAATCTTGGGGTTCATTTCACCTAACATAAACTTATCTGACGTTTCTGCTTGTCTTAGACATATACTAGTTATTGCACATAAGGAAAACCATGGGACCTATGTTTCTTTGGGCCTGGCTTACCTCACTTAATATAAATTTTCCAAGTCTTTCCATTTCCTAACAAATGGGGCAATGCCATTCTTTCTGATGGAGGCATAGAATTCCATTGTGTATATATACCACATTTTCTTGATCCATTCATCAACTGAGGGGCATGTCTTTGCTATGGTAAATAATGCTGCAATAAACATAGTTTTACTG